ATTTTCTATATACCAAATCATGTGATCTGCAAACAAAGGCAGTTTTACTTTTGCCTTTCCAATACAGATGTTCTTTATCAGGTTGAGGAAGCTCCCTTATTCCTGATGTATTGAGTATGCTTATCTTAAAAGGTGTTATATTTTCCTTCCACTTCTTTTACTTGCCTAACTTCCCTGGCTAGATTTACCCTTGATTTTCCCCTTGAGGTCATATATTTTGGATCTGGTTCCTACACACCTCTCCTTAGATCAAGATTTGACTGAGAAATGTAAATCACACAACCATCTGGAGGCAGTCTTAGAAGCTGTACCATGTTGAATAGCAGTGGCGAGTATGGACATCTTGTTCTTGATTTTAAGAGAAAAGCATCCAGTCTTTCACCAGTAAATATGATATCATCTGTTGGTTTTCACAGATGTTCTTTATCAGTTTGAGGAAGCTCCCTTATTCCTGATTTATTGAGTATGCTTATCTTAAAAGGTGTTATATTTTATTAAATGCTTTGTCTGCACCTATCGAAATGATCATGTGGTTTTGTTCCTTGGTTAAGTCTTAGTTCAATGAAGAGGCTTGTAGGAACCACAACAGAAATATGTGACCTCAAGGAGAAATCCAAGAGAAGATACTCATCAATTATTTTGGACAATTAGCATCATAGGAAGGGCTAAGGATCGAGGATTACAATAATATGTTCATTGTATACATTTCAACATAATTGGAAATTTGTACAAACATGTTAATACTTTTCCTCTTCACCAAATCAAAATGTAAAACATCAAAATAAAAATAATAGTTTTCATCACTGTACTTTTTGTGATATGCTATGCACGCTATACACGCTATTTAACTTAATCCTCACAACAATCATTAAGGCAGGTATGATTTTTGTCCTCATTTTACAGATAAAGAAGTGGGGCTCAAAGAGGGTAAGAAACTTGCCCTAGGCCTCCCAGGTTCCAAGTGGTGGAGCCAGGATTCAAACCCACATTGCCTGACAGGCCCTTAATCCTCTGTCCACTTATTCTGAGCTAAGAAAATTATAACTAGCTTGCAATTGACAATGCTCTATGTCATACAAAGTATTCGTTCTCATCACTCCCCTGTGATGTTAGAAGAAAATTTATTAAAACTCATCACTTTTATCTACTGAGCACTATGTGAAGTACTTTAAATGTATCAATCCACATTATTCTCATGAAGCTCTATGAGGTAGAGATTATTACTGCCTGCCTTTTACAGACAAAGAAGCTGGGGTTCAGAAAAGATGAATACTCCCACATCATACCACTAGAAAGCAGAGCCACCAGGGTTCAACCTTGTCTCTCAGATTCAACTGGGTCCACACCCAGCCTCAGCACCCTCCCAAACCCTCCCTTCTCAGGCACTCACTGAGGGTGCAGCTTGTACAGGGTACCATCCACGCCCACAGTGATCTTCAAGTGCTCAAGTCCCTGGTCTTCCCTCTTTTTCTCCACGATGGCAGCCATGCCAGCGCCGCAGAGCTGGGCCGCCCGACGGGACACAGCTCCACACACCTCCTTCACCACGATGCTGTCCTCACATGTGCTGTCCAAGCCGAGCTGCTGCAGGATCCTCCTGACCTGAAGGAGAGCCAGCCTATCGCTGCAGGCAAGCAGAGCAGGATGTCAGGACCTGCTTCTGGGGCCCATGTCATCTGCAAACAAACCGCCTTTGTTTGCAGATGATATGATTTGGTATATAGGAAATCCTGGAACCAGCTCACAGACCCCACCCCTTGCCCCTAGATGTCCTAGCAAGGAGGGAGGAGAAAATGATCCAGACGATGGTTGAGTTGGAATAGAATTCCTTAGAAGCTGAGACTTAAGAACTTCTGCCACCTCCAGGAAGTCCTATCATCTTTAAAAAATAAAGTGTGAGCACCTCTTATATATTATCTCACTAGGAGCTATTATTAGATCTAGTTACCAGCACAGCAGGTAGCTATTTTTCAGAAGAGGAATCTGAGGTTCAGAGTGCTAGAGACTTGCCCACAGAGAGTAGAGAGCAGGGATTCAAACACACACCTTCTCACACCAAATCGAGTCTCTCCCACTGAACACACCAGCTTCCAATACTCTGGCCCCATTCAATTGGAAGCCCACTTTCCTTCTTTTTAACTTTTTATGATTCATTTTTTATGTGCTTTCCCTTCCCAACTAGACGACATGGTCTTTGAGGGTAAGACTGTGTTCTCAATAGGAGACAGCACAGAGCTGTGTATATTCAATGGGAAAACGAAGAAATGAATATACAATGTACAATCAGCATCTTAGTGAATGGTAACCTGCTAGGACCATAAGCACATGCAGAGAAGCACCCATCATGGAGACAGGTTAGCCTCAAGTCTAGACCTGACTTATCTCACAGTGAACTTACTGAGCTCCCAAGCTAAACAATATGAAGTTATAGCCTTGACTGTTTCAGGTGATACTTAGGGAAGAAGAGTGTTACAAAGAGACACCAACTGAGAAACAAACTCTATGGCCATAGAACAATTCAACAGGTAAATGGGGGTAGAGCCAGATAACAAAATCCTTTTTAGACCTTACAGATGAGTTTGCATGAGAATATTTAATGCTATAAAAATGTTCATGATGTATTAAGTGAGAAAATAATTTATAAAATACTATGTGCCATATGACCTTGGTTTGTTTTTGTTTTTAATCATGTTTATCCTTGCACAGAAAAAAAAAGAGCAGAAGGAAATCTATTCAGATGATAACAGGATTATTAGTAATTCTCATTTTCTTCCTTTTGCTTATAAATTAATAATACTGTATAGAAAAAAAAAATGGGGGTTTTCTGGTATGTCTAAAAATAAACCCTGAAATTCCCTCCACAGTCTAGCCCTTCACAGTTTCCCTAGTTCTTTCATGTATGTTCCCTTACTAGATCCTCAGAATAATCCTTGGGGTTAAGCAGCAGAGCAATTATTTATCTTGTAAAGAAGGAAACTGGGGTTCAGAGAGGTGAAGCTACCTGCTTCATACAGGTCATACAGGACAAACGAGTTAAATGGCAGAGATGAATCTTAAGCTTAGGCTCTGAGACTGTAAATCCAGGATTCTTCCCCTGAGAATCACTGTCTCATTCATTCAACAACACACTTTGAAATGGCCCGCAGCCAACATAGCACCTACCATCTCCTCATTGACACTAGACAGATATGATTTTCTTTTTATTCCATAATTTTTTTTTTTTAATGCCTGTAGAAATCAAAGAATCCAAAGCAGACACATTTTGTGTGGCAGAAGCAAATATTTCTGGAGGCATATAGGTCCTGCCGACTTGCTTTGTCCAGGAACAACCTTCTTTGTATTCAGGTCAAAAAAAAAGGGGCAAAGATAAGACAATCTGTTTATCTCTGGCACATGAGGGAGAAGCTATTCCCCCCTACACACACAGCAAGAGGACCCCTGTAGCTGCCAAACATGATGACTTTTAACTTGCAACTTTCAAATTTTATGGCTTGAAGACCAGACCAAAAAAGGGTACTGAACATTTGCTAATCAACACTTCAAAAACACAAAACTGTTGCTGCTGCTACTGATTCTACATCTCCTTAGACAACAAGAACTGCTCTGCAACAGTCCATCTGATTTCCCTCATTAAGTACACTGCCCTCATTTATAGAGGGATTTTTTTTCCCCCAAAGTGATTTTTGGTTTGCTGGCACCTAGCCATAAAGACCGGGAAAATTAAATGAATGAAGGCAAGTTGAGAGAAATTCCAAACATCCAGTGCTGATATGAAAAGCAGTGAAGCTGACATTTGTACATAACTGGTGGTGGTGGAGACTGGAACTACCTTTCTAAAAAGGTGTGTCCATAGGGAAATGCTTCTTTTAACCAAATGCTTCTACTCCTAAGGAAATAATTCACAAGATGCAAATTACTATGTACAAAAAGAATAATTATGGTGTTGCTCAGAATTGCAGAAATCCATAAATTACAAGGTAGATATCCTACACCAAAGGGGAAATTTAGTAAATTATAGTATAGAAACATAACATAACATAATGCAGCCATTTAAAATGATAATTACACCGAAGAGTTGATATGGGGAAGTGTCTCTTTCTAGAAGTATTTCAGTTAATAAATGCGGAAGGAATGATAGCATTAAATTATCATCATCTTACAATCTCTAGTGAAATTATAGATCTAGACAAGAAGCATCAATGACAGCTAACATCATAAAAGAGAGACAGATAGACAACCCAATGTCACCTGTGAAATATTCTTGTCCAAAATGCAACACGAAATCTAATCATGCATCTGGGTCTAACTATGAGTTTGCAAGAAATATAAGGGACAGAAGAAAATGCTAAGTGCTGCAATCAGCAAAATTTAGAATATAAGAAACTCAGAATAAATGGATAGTTTCTTCATCAAATATATTACAAGGGAGAAAAAGAGAGGCATGGAAATTCTATTGATTAAAAGAGATTTAACAAACATATCAACCAAATGCAATAAATGGACCTTGTTTGGATAATGATGCAAACAGAACTATAAAAACCATTATTTTTAGACATCTTGGGCAATGGGAACACTGACAGGATATTTTGAGATAAGGTTTATCATTAGCTATTTCAGGCATGATGATGGTACTACGGTTACATATTTTTTAAATAACTCGTATTTTAGAAATATATTTTGAAATGTTTATCAATGAATTGCCATAAAATTTCTTTCAAATTAAGCCACCTTGGGAATGGAAAAAGTAGGACTATATAGACTTCGGCCATGAGTGGTCATTATTGAAGGTGGTGATGACAACATTGGGTTCATTTTACTATTCTATTTTTTCATATGTCTAAAACTTTTCATAATAAAAAATAAGAACCAGAATTATAAGTGAAAATTTCCATGAACAAACACTGAATAAAAAAATATATAGAATGATATGAGTAATGTAATCGCAATCACGAAAGTATGTTTATAAACATTCAAGAACTTAAAAGGGACTATAATATGCAAAAATGAAAACAGCTGTATTTAGTAGTGAGCATATGAGTGATTTTTTAAAAACACCATTTTTTTTCGTATTATGGATACATTTTCTTTTCAGGAAGAAAAGGCAATCGTTTTCTAGCCTAAGCTAACTCCTGTGTAGTAACAGCTTAGGGACCTTGTGGCCCAGACAGGCTGCTGGCCCCTCAACTGTGTGCATACCCTTGGGCTGTGGTCCTGATGCAGCTGGAGAGACGGGGCAACCCCAGGAGGTAAGCCTCTGCCTGATCTTGGCCTGTTTTTATTTTTAAACTTCAACTCTGCCCAACCCTAGCAAGACCACGGCACGTCCAAATCAGGGCCTCTCACACTGAGCAGGTGAACATGATTACATATCACCTTTCAATTTGGGATAGGAACTTGGTTTCAAAGATGCCCCTGGTCCGGAGACGCTCTGAAATCTGCCCGCGAAAGAGGAGACCCTGCTTGGTCAGGTCGATCAGGATCTGCCGCACGATCTCCCCCAGGTACATCCCACTGGTCATCTTCTCATATCTGTTTGTGGAAGAGGAATGAGTTTGGTGAAAGCAGGAAAATCAGTGCTGGTGAATGGTTCCTGAAAGGATCACGGGTCAGGGTGTGGAACATGCCATTGGCATCCACTAGCTACCTGATTCGGAGTGTTTCAGAATGAGCAGCAGGGCAAAAGAAATGCAATGCCTAAGACAGCATAATGTGGGAAAGCCAGGCTTTGGAGCCATGTTGACTAAGCCAGGTCCCAGCTCTGCCACATACTAGCTGCATAACCTGAGTTATCATCTATGAAACAGGGAGCGTGAAGCACTGACCCCACAAGACTGTTGAGATGGAAGCATCTGGTGTACAATAGGCATTAAGCAAAAGTTAGTCCCTCTCCTGGCCCCAAAGCCAATTCTCCTTGGCTTTATATTACAAATCTGTTCTACTAAAGATTCTTGTTGCTTTGTATTTGAACAAATACAAATCTGTTCCACTAGAGATTCTGCTCCACAAGATAGTACATTTAAACTGTCTGCACCCACCAGGAATGCTCAAATAATGTTAGCTCTTTCCCCTTTCTACAGGTCGTGAACAATATGAGGCAAGGAGCAAGAGGAAAAGGTGCTTCGTAGCCAACAGGCACTGACCAGGCACTCTGCACAGGTATGTATGACAGTATTAATAACAATGATGCAGAGCTGGAACACCACTGCCTGCAGGGTCAAATGGGAATCAGAAACTTATGCGCTGGACTTGTGTTCTCTTCAATGGTCAGGACCTAATGTGGAACCAACATGACACAGACTAATTATGGCAGCAAATTAAATATGCTGCTCCCTTAAACGCTCATTCTAAAAAATATAAGCCTCCAGGGGATTTAGTCACAAAACTAAGAAGGAACTTGCCCCTTGCCCCTTAAGAAGAGCCACAATATTTGGATGTCCCCAACTTAGGATTCAGAGATAAATTCCCTTCTTTTGGGGGCAATCTCTAGTTCAGCTGCCCTTTCCACAACTCACCTGCCTTCCAGTAACAAAGACTAGTGCCAAAGGAAGATGAGAAATCACCAGGGCCAGTCTTGCCTTGCCCAAGCCTCTTCCTACACAGTGTAACATTTCCAGTCTGCTCAACTTCTCCACTTGGATATCACCCACCATGGTAAATCTATATTCTGTCAACATCCACTTTATTTTATGTATTAAGACACTGAGTTTAGTTATGACAAAGACCATATGGCCTGATAGTAAAACATTTGCTCTCTGGTCTGTTACAGAAACAGTTTGCCAACCCCTGTTCTAATGGACAGGCTCAGGTTAATTATCAATTCCTAGCATGATAGCTCTATCTCTATCTACTCCTTTTTCTCCTTCTGAAGAAGGTATACAAGAATGCAGGTGAAAATTACTTTAAAAAAAAAAAAACATTCCTTTATTTCAGTATTTTTAGTATGACTAATAGTTTGCGTACACCGCAAAAGTGATGGTCACCCGTGTCGGGACACAATGTCTTGGTTGAAAACCAGGATTCCCACCTTCACCTGCAGCCACTTCCCTACCCCAGAATAGCAGAGGTCAGCATCCTGGCAGCCAGCTCTTGAAAGGCTGAGGATGTCGACCTCTAAATTGGACCTACCAGATGCCCACCCCAAAAGGACCCACTGAGTCACCATGTCCCTGCTCTGTGACACCTGGCCCACAGAGAATACACTTTTCAACAGCCTCTGCCTCACTTCCAAAGCTACCGGTAGCCCTTATGATATCTCATGGTAATTTTAAAAAGGCACTCCTTCTTTCTACTTATTAGAAACTCATCATAATATTTTGCTTTCATTCAAATAAGACAGCTCACTGACATCTGATAGAGAGTTCTAATAAATATACAAAGCTATAGTGTCTATGATATGAAAATGGTCCCCTCCCCCTGGTAAAGTCATAAACTACACAACCTGCATAAATGTACAGATCCATTTTCTCACCTCTGTTTGCCAGGATTCAAAGACCCCTCATCCACCTCCTTGTCATATTGGGTCCGAATGTCATTTATGCAGCCATTATCTCCAAATCCTCCCCACTCTGTATTGATGCACATCAGCCCTTTGTCCCCTTCCACCAACTCGATGTTTCTCATCTCCTCCATGTAGCACACATTGCTGCCTGTTCCTAGAAGGAATCATGAAGAGACTTTAGTCTTAGAAAGGTACCACAAGGTCTCAAAGAGGCAGCAGAGTGCAGTACATAGGAATTCCAGCTTAGAGTCATATACAACTAGGTATGGATTCCAGCTTTACGCTCATTGGTGAGTGACTTTAGACAAGTATCTCATCTTTCAAAGGTCCCGTTACTTCATCTATACAAAGGAAATAGTGCCTGCCTTATAAATTTGTTATTAAAAAAAAAAAATGAGATGCTGTCTATAAGTTTCCTCCACATAGTAAGTATTCGATAAATGGTACCTGTGATATCATCATCATCATCATTGTTAAGCTATAGGCACACAAAGTAAGCTTCCAAGTAGTCTTAGAATTAGCAGTCAGAGCTGGAAGGGATGATGAAGAATCATCTAGTCTTGGATAAGCAAACACTTGGCATCTATAAGCCATCTTCTTCTGCTTTGTCCATGACCTGGCCTCAGAACTATTCTCAATACAACAGTCCAGACAACTATAATACTCAATTAAATAAGTCTCACTTCTCTTCTCTCCTAGATCTAGCCCAACTCCTTCCACAGTTGAAGAAACTCAAATCCAGACAGAATAAGTAACCTGCCCAAGGTCACAAAGTAGGTAAAAGTTAGAATGAACTGAAACTTCTTACATGGCATTGAAGACATCTCAATATATCCCCATCTCAATATATCCCCACCTACAACTCACCTTCAGGAACCCCAGATAACCAACTGGAACAACTTTCCCAGATTCCTTCATTACTTAACCTGTGCCTGTCACTTGGAATGCACTTCATCCCTATCTCCACCTGTTCAATTCCCACCTGTCCCCCCACCTCTTAAAAAGAGTCATCCCACTAGAATCCACCCTTACCCTTAATCACTCTCTTCTCTTCTCCTAGGTGTCTAATTCTTCCCCATTCTGTGCACCCTGCCAGCCAGTAAAGGTCAGAGAACAGAGGAAGTGTACATTGGAGCCAACATCAAAATCTAGCTCCTTCGGTCCCAGGCCAACATGATCCAACATGAATCCAACATGATTCATCCCAGGATAATCTGCTTCAAGGCCCTAATCTGAAAATCCCCTCTTTCTGTGTCACTCTCCTTCTTCAACAGAAAGAACCACCTTGGCTTTGGACCCTTAACAGAGAAAGGTATTAAGTAAAGACTTAGGAATTAGGGGACCTGGAATCCCAATTTTAACTTCATGTCTGCCTTGGACAAAGGGGGCTTCAGAGCCTCTGAATGGAACAATGGCCCCCCACCCCTCACTATGTTAAAAAAGAACCTCCAAAGGATGAAATGGGACATGCCTGATCACTTACCTGCAATCAGGCCAATCTCACAATTAGGATCTTCATAGCCACAGGTCATCATAGTCCCCACTGTGTCATTCACGACTGCAACTATATCCAGGTCAAACTCCTGCAAAGGAAACAGCTCTACTATAAGTAGAATGTGCAGGCTGAATAGGATCAGGAAGGGCATATCAGCCCAAGGTTTGGGGGTGGGGGGAGGAAGAGGTCAGAGTCACGGGGCTGGGCATAGGACGTTAGAGCAGAGGGCCTGGGGGAAAGGGCTGGGTGAGGCATGGGCCTCAACACCATATCATACATTTCTCCTCTTGATGGCTTCCCTGAGCATGTCCACCATGTCTTCCCCTTCACAGTCGGTAGCCTTAAAGCCTTTGGTCCATTCAATGAGTGTTCCCTGAAAGAAAGGAGGGGATATTCATTTTATCAGTAGTTTTCTGGGACCACTACACAACTTCAATATCTAATAGGTAGTTAACTGCTAGTCAGATGTGTGTGCTTTTGACTGCTTCCATTTCTGCAGCCCTAATGCTGGGTCCAGAGGAATCACAAAGCATGGTGCTCAGACGAGGTGTAATAATTGTAACAATTAGTGTTCATTATTGGTTAATTCATGTTCCCTGGCCATGACTGCACAGAACAAAGGCCTGCATCATAGTGACCCTACTTCTAATTTGCCAAGGACAGATTAAGATGTGATTAAAGATAAAGCTACAGAATGTTTATCAAAGCATTGTTCCACAATAAAAAACTAGAGGCATCCTATCATTCCAACAAAAATGGATCTCTTGTCTTGTACATCAATATAGGAAAAATTATAGTCATAAAAAAGTATACTGTAAGAGAACATTGGATGCTAGAGAAAGATGTTCACCATACACTGTTAAATGAACACACATTAAACAAATACAGGTGGTAATTATTCCATTACTCTTTTAAAAAACCACACACACGTGCACATGCACGCACATGTATCTGGCAAAAATTCTGAAACAACGTATATTCCTTGGAGTTGATATTGGATCTCTCTTGGGTTCTAGATTACGTGTGTCTACATTTTCTAGTTTTCCTAAAATTAGTATGTATAATTTTTTATAATACTGAGAAAATTTTTAAAAGAAATTTTAATTTTTAAAAGAAAGCAAAGGATATACTGTTAGCTGGGGGCAGGAATTAGTCTAGCCTCAGACTCTGTAGCGTAGGTGGGATGAGGGCAGGTAGAGCTGGAGCGTCTAGGCCATGAGAGTTCCCGGGATAAGAGAGGTGGCCAGCAACTCTGATGGTAGAGCCCTCAACACTGTGGACTGGAAGGCCACCTCACCAGAGGCCCTCAGCCCGCGTCCCCGCTGCATTTCACAGTCCTTAGAAAGCTAGGTTCCCTTGGTCCTTTCCTGGTGGATATATTTAGAACATTAGAGATTTATTGCCGATTGAAAAATCTCTCTTATTAGTTGCAATTATACAGAAACAACATCTTTATTTTAAAAGTCCTTTTTTTCTCCCCAGCTATCGGTTATTTTACTTCATAGGTCTCCCCCTCCCTCTAAGCTGTGTCTTCATGAACCTACCAGAACTTCTGGGAGAGAGAGAGACCTGGAGGCCCAGTGTCCTGGGTCAAGAGAAATAGCTGTGTCCTGGTGCCACTGATCATTCAGGACTGTGGACAGCTGCACATGGCTCCCTTTCCCCATGTTGTATTAATTTTTAATGGCAGCAGTAATACAGGAATGCATTGCCCTTGTGAAAAATTAAAGCGTTACTGATAAAGTCTCCTTTAATCCCTCATCTCCCCAATCTGAGGTAACCTCTATTATCAGTCTGGTATGAATCCTTCCAGACCTTTTTCTGTTTACATGTATTTTTTAATAAATTCATATGGTGTGTGGACTACTGAAATTTGTTTTTCTCACTAAATAATGTATCTTCTAGACCTTTTCAGGTCAGTTAATGTGGATCTGACACATTCCTTTACTGAGGAAAATACTCTTCAAATATAATTGCACAAAAATAAAATCCATAAAACATACCTGTTGAATAAGTACTATTTTTATCTCCATTTTTTAAATGAGGAAATCAAGGTACTGAGGGGTCAAATAACTTGCCCAAGTTTATGCAGCCAATAAGTAGAGAAGCCGAGATTCAAACTGAGGCGATGTGTTTCCAGACCCACCCAAGTTCTTAGCTCTCGTGCTCTGCCGTCTCCCAGTCAGGTAGGTCGTATCTGTGAAGCAGTTGGAATGATGTCTGGCACAGAGCCAGCACGGCAGATGTGTTCATTAAAGGGAAATCAAGTAATGAATGAATTCCACATGATTGATATACTATAGTTCATTTATTGAGTCACTCTCCATTGCCAGACATTGTGCTATTTTTAATTTTTCATTATTAAAAAGCAGTGTTGTAGTGAACATCGAGAAATGAAATCTTGAGATGTTCTGGCTCTTAGCATTCTGGCATTTTTAATTTTGAGAGACCAGCCTTATTACCAGACAATTCAGTCTTTTGAACATCTTTCTCCCTGTCCTCTGGAGGACTGGAGCCGGATGAGGAGGCCTCTGTTTTCATGGTGTTCTAAGAGCCCTGGAGAGCTCCGTTTCAGTTCGGATTGTGCGCCTACCCATCAGAAGAGATCTACAGGCCTCGATTTCCTCATATGAAAAATAAAATAGGGTAGAAAGCAGAGTATAAGTCACACAACAAGGTTAAATACTATTTCTTGTTTTGGGGGGGGAGGGGTTTGATTATATATATGTAGGTATACTGTGTATTATAGCCAAAATGGTTCGAAACCACTGGCGTTGGGAGTGTGCCTCCTGGACTCTGAGCCCTGGTCCCCACAGAGGCAGGATGCAAGAGCCCAGCTCTCAGGCTAGTGTGCCGGGTTGGAACCCTCCACCACTGGTTACCAGTGTGGCATCTTGGACAACTTACTTAACCTCTCTGTCCCTCCATTTTTCTCAACTACAAAATGATGATTAAAACCTATGTATACGTACAATGGAATATTATTCAGCCTTAAAGAGGAAAGAAATTTTGATGCATGGCCACAACATGGATGAACCTTGAGGACATTATGCTGAGTGAGATAAGTCAGTTACAAAAGGGCATAGACTGATTCCACCTATACGAGGTACCTAGTCAAAGTCACAGACAGAAAGTTGAAAGGCGGTTGCCAGAAGCTGGGGGAGGGAGATTTGGGAATTACTATTTAATAGGAACAGAGTTTCAGTTTGGGAAGATGAAAAACTTCAGAAGATAGATAGGGTTAAGGTTGCACAACAATCTGAATGTACTTAATTAAATGCCACTGAACTGTATACTTAAAAATAAAGTGGTAAATTTTATGTTATGTGTATTTTACCACAATAAAAAATGGTAAAAACACAATACAACAAAACAAAAACAGTGTATTACCTCATGAGGACAATGAGTGGATTAGGCAAAATCTTAACAAATCTTTGGTACTATTGTTCCCATTATTATTGTCATGAACTCTGGTTGACTTGTTCTGCTACCAGAGTTCTCCCTGTAAATTCAGGAGTGGCATCCTGCTTTTATGCCTTGGTTGATGTGAGCCTCTCAGAGAGAGAGCGAATTCCATACTCCATGAGCTGGTGAATGGTGTTTTAATCCAAGAATTTTAAGAAAGACCTTGTGCTATATGTTTCTAAGTTATTATGAATAATGCATTTAAATTATTATCTTTGATATTCTTTAGTCAACTAAATAAGTCACTATGTGATAAATTCCTTCTGAGAGTCTAATGTCGGGAAAGAAAGGCATTTCTTCTGATACACTGATAAGCTTCATTCATCAGACAGTAAAAACCTTACCACCCATTGTGTTCCCCTGTTTATGCTGACTACCCAGAAAGACACAGATAATATTACTGCCTGAGTGTTATAGATGGCCTTAACCATCTTTCTATCTCTCCACCATATGATTTGACCTCTCTTAACAGTATTCTTACGTATGTGTCCCTTTAACGTATACTACCCTCAATTCTTTTGTGAACTTCAATCTAAAAAATAATAATGAAAATGCAACACAATAAATAGAAAAAATTAAAGTTAAAATTCTCAATCACATTTTCCCAGCTGCTCTGAACCTAAGACCCCCTAAATAAAATGAACAGTGCCTCCGAGTTACCTTGAGATCCCCCTGGTGGAGGAGGGATGCCCATGGGGCAGGCTGCAAGTCTGGCGGGCTGTCTTACCTTGTCAATGCTTGTCTGTCTGCAGGGAAACGAGAACGTGAAGCCCAAGGGCAGCGGGGCTCCCTTGAGGCCCATGTAGTCCAGGAAGTCAGCGATGCACTGCACAATGTGGTCAAACAGCTGCAGGGAGAGAGTGGCAGTCATACAGGGTCGGCAGTAATACGGGGTGGCTGGCTGGTACCTCGGAACGCAGGACCCCCAGCCTGGCGTTTACCTCCTCACCGGTGCCCTGCATGACCTCCAGAGGGACGGCAAAGATCTTGTGGTACATTCGCACTGACCTCCGTCCACTTCTGACCTTCACCAGGAGGACTCGGAAGTTGGTTCCCCCCAGATCCAGGGCGAGGAACTTCCCCTTCTCTGCAGCAGAGAAAGTGGGGGCTGCATTCCACCAGCATGCACAGAGCAGGGACTTGTGTGGAGGTGTTGGGGGGAAGAGGAGATGCAGAAAAGAAGCAGACTCAGCCCTGCCCCCCTGGGGCTCATGGGCCAGAGGCATGTGGTGGTCACCGAGCAGTGTCAGAGCACTGGGCAGGCACTTTGAGCCTGTCTGAGGCTCATCTGATTTTTCTGGTATTTGGTAAAGGTCACACATGATATTTACACTCAAGGAGCTTCTGAGGGTGAGGCTACCAGGCCAGGCTACCCTGACTGCACAGGAAGGTGATTCCATCCTGTCTGTATGGCAGAGAGGAATTGTGCATCCACAGCATGAAGCAATTCTTCCTGTGCCTGATCTCCCCTTCCCCAGATTCCTACACCCGCACCTGACTAATAAGAAACCATATCAAGTCCGACCCCCAGTACCATCAGGGCCTCTCACTTCAACATCACAGAGCATCACAGTCTGTTCCGTGAAGCCTTTCTGCCTCACTCACTCTGCTCTAGCCACACTGGTCATTGCGCTGTGCCTCGCATTTGCCAAAGACCTCACGCCCAGCCAGCTCTCTCGCCCCTTGTCCTGCTATTTTTCTTCATAGCATCTGTAATTACATGGCATAATACCACGGTTTTTATTGTCTGCCAGCCCAACAGAACATAAGCTCCACAGGGGCAGGGACCGCGTTTTCCTCACTGCTCTATCACTGTGCCTAGACCACAGCCTGACATTTAGTAGGCGCTTAATGAAACTTTGAGGAATGAAGCCAGGAAGATAGAAGGGTAAAGGAATGACTAATTAGACCGTGTCTTTTACTGCTCTCAGTTTTTTTTTCCTTATGTAGACTCGAAGGATACTGGCTCTGGAAAAGATCTTTGTTGTTGAGAGATTCAAAGTATAGCCGTGTGACCCTGACTACGTCATCTAACCTCTCTGAGTCTCAATTTTGGCATCCATAAAATGTGAATCATTCTCTCTTTATGTAATACACAAGTGGTTGTGACGGCAAAATGAAATTAAAGGCTCAAAAGCAAACTACTAGACATAAAGCATTATACAAAGTTCATGAGGTTCAAGAGGTGAACTTCCTTGTCTAAAGTACTGACTCCATTGCTGAGTGGCTACTCTCTGCAGATCACAGAGGACCAGGAGAAGAATCAGGGGTTGGAAAAGTCAGGACCAGAGAGTGACGAGAAGGGAGAGCAAGAGACCCAAGTCCCAGGAGAGAAGAGAGGCAGAGAAGTTGGCGAGAAGACAAGTCAGACAGCTCCAAGTATCCAGATAGCAACTCCTGGAGACAGCATCTGGCTCCTCTGCTTGCCGACAACGTGGGGCACACTCCATGTTCTCAGTTACACAGATACACACACGTACTCTGAGTACTTTAACTATTCTTTCACTGCAAATGCCTTGGATCAACCACAGCAAATAGACTCAGGAGTATCAACCTTCTACCCTTCTCTACCTCCCTCCATTACAGACATGAATCCAAAGCTCTTAAACAAAAAACCTAACTGGATTTAAGGAATTCTGATGGGAGCTCTGGGTGACTCTTCAGAGAAAAGAGCTGTGCACGGCCCACCTGTGCCATCTGGCATCCCGCAGACGTAGGTGGGCAGCATCTTGACTGTGGCCAGTGGGTGGGTGTCCCTCTTCAGCCCGTACTCGAGCTCAGCCCGCATCTTGTCCTGCACACCCACAAGCTGCTCTTGGGTCAGTCGGAACAAAGCCAGCACCCTGTCAATCTGCTTCCGCTTGGCCTGCACGCGGGAGGCCACCGCTGTCACCATGGCGGCCCCCTTGGTGCTGCCACTCTCCGACAGGAGGAAGCGGACGTCACAGTTCGGGACCAGTTTCCTCACCACCTTGTGCAGGCGTTTTGGATATCTGAAGGTAGAAGCGATGGAACAATATGTAATAATTATAAAGGCCCAGGCCTGGCCAGTGGGAACAGACACAGGTGTAGCAGTTGAATGGGGTCCTGGGGAGTCCTGCTGGGCCAGGGCTCACCCCTTTAGTTGCTGGATGGAAGGGAAGGAGGGGGGTGACCAAGGATAACTAGGGCAGCTGGAGCAATTGGATGGGACTCTTGGGAAGCTCAAAGAAGTGTCTATTTTATCACTAATATGTTAACCAGTTGGGCAGATGCATACATAGGGCATGTTCAGTATTAGCTGAACATCATCTCTGCCCAAAGGGGAAGAGTTCTGTCCCTAGCTCTTTCCAGGGTGTGTCCACCTGACTTCCATTGCCATCTCTGTTAGACAGAGGGTCTTTCACTCTCCCTCCTCTGGGAAATTTTCATTTCACTGTTTACCTACCAGTATCCTACATTGAGCTTGGCAACCTCTACCATCCCAATTTTTTCCCATCTATAACTGGGTGTATCTTACTTTCCAGTCTTACCATATAGTAGGTATTCAATAATAATGGACAGATGGATAGCTGGATGGACAGGTGGATGGATGGCCTAGTCAGGCAATTGGCTTTAGCTGAATATTTCTTTAAGAATGCTCCCCTAAAGCAACCCAGCCAGCAAGATGAAAGCAGACTCCACATTCACTC